CAGACTCTCCCCATTTCTATATGTACCAAAGCTTTTTTAAGGATTTAGGTGTCTGTCTTCCCTTCACTCGGTTCGAGTGCGATTTTTTGAAATTTATCAACGCGGCTCCTTGGCAGTTGCATCCCAACAGTTGGGGTTTTTTGAGGGCTTTTCAGGTCCTGTGTGCGGTTCTGGGGATAGAGGTGTCCCTTTGCGTCTTTCTTCATTTTTATCAACTGAAGGCGGGCGCACCGCCTTATGGTATTTTGTCCTTGAATGGGAGTAGGGATGGGGGTTTGTTTACTCTCTACTCCCAATCATATAAAAACTTCAAACAGGAGTTCTTTCGGGTTGCCCTTGTGGGTATTGACCCCCTGGAGGACGCGGTGTTCCACTTCGGCAGCTTGCCGAAATTTCCTTTTTACTGGTGTCCCAACCCGTCTAGGTTTCACGGTTTGGGTAACCTGAAGGTGACGGCCTCGGAGGTAGCCGCCATTGAAAACCTTGCTGCGCTCCCTCGCCCGTTGGATTGCAAGTTCGTTCTGTCGCTTGCGAATTCTCCCTACAGGGAGAGGGGCCTAGAGAGTGAGTATTTCGTGTTTTGGTGGTTTGCCAGGTGTCGTGTAATTTCCTTTTGTTGATGTGTTTCCGTTTTTGTCTGCAGGCATTATGGGGAAGAACTTGTGGCGCGAGCTTAAGCACCGCTACAACGTTACTGAGCTCGAGGTTCCCGAGCCTCCGGAGGAGGAAGTTGCCCCTCTGAAGGTTAGCCGAAAGAGAAAGAGGGGGGAAAAGAGGTCGGGGGAACTTCTGCCCCTCCAGGTGCCGAGGAGGTGACCTCCAAGGCCATTGATGCTGATGCGGTGGATCTCACTGAGAGTCCACCGTCTAAAGAGGCTCCCCTAGTGGTGGCTGGGGAGGCGGCCCAAGTCGCTGAGCCTACCACGCAGGTCGCCGATGTGAGTGTCGTACTTCCTTATACGTTTCTTCTGTGTTAGACTTTGCTTGGTTTATTGTGGTGATATGGGTTTTCTTGTAGGCTGGGGTGGCCGTCACTAAGGTAGGAGTACGGGCGGCTGAGCAAGTTCCTCGAGTTGCCAAGTACTCACGCCACATGATTCAACTTTGCTCTTCGTTTCCAAATGAAACCAGTGGTAAAACCTTTCTTGTTAGTCTTTTTATTGAACTTGTAGGGAGAATTCCTCTTTTTCCTTATGAATTTTCTGAACTTCTTCACCAACAACTTGAAGTTCTCAGTTTCGGAATCATCGGAGCTTGATTCTTCACACACCTCTTTGCCTTTGGCTGATTTCAAGGCCTTTAGTGACACTTCCTTGCCCTTCTTGTCCTGCTGTTCATTTTCCTCAAATATATGTAGCTTTTTCTCATGCTCTCTTAGCTTTCCAAAGAGAGTAGCAAGGGTTAATGAGGTCACCAACACTTCCTACAACATAATCATCGGGAGGCTGACCTTGAATCAACTCGGAGCAGTAGTGTCCACCCCACACCTCACCATGAAATTCCCAGGGAATGACGGGAAGATTACCTCTGTCAAGGCGAACTAGAAGACGGCACGACAATGCTACACCGAAAGCTTGAAGATCACCTCACCCGATGAACAATGCAAGAGTGGCCCTCCCACCGTAGCTCACATCAACCACGAAGAAATCACTGATCTCGATCTGAGATCCGACTCTCGTGACGAACGACCAAGCCCCGTCGACGAGCTCGACGACTTCCAGATCGGAAAATCCCCCGGGCAGTACACAAAGATCAGCAGACAGTTGAGCCCGGAGTTGCGACAGCAGCTCGAAGCGAAAATCCTCAAAAATGCTGACCTCTTCGCCTGGTCCAGCGCTGATATGCCAGGTATAGACGCTGACTTCATCTATCACCGGTTAGCGATACACAAGGAAGCAAAGCCAGTGGCCCAGAGAAAGAGAAAGGTCAGTGGTGAGAGGTGAGAGGCCATCATCACCGAGTCACAAAAGTTGCTGAGCGCCGGCTTCATCCGGGAAGTCAAGTACACCATATGACTGGCGAATGTGGTTCTGGTGAAGAAGAGTTCGGGAAAGTGGTGCATGTGCGTCGATTACATCGACTTGAACAAAGCATGCCCCAAGGACTCATACCCCTTGCCAAGCATTGACAGGCTGGTCGACGGAGCATCCGGGCACGCCCTCCTTAGCTTCCTCGACGCCTAATCCGGGTACAATCAGATAATTATGTACCCACCCGACGAGGTGCACACGTCTTTCATCACCGACCACGCCAACTAATGCTATCGGGTGATGCCCTTCGGCCTCAAAAATGCGGGGGCAACTTACCAGCAACTGATGGATAAGGTTATTCACCAGCAGATCGAGCGGAACATGGAAGTCTACGTCGACGACATGGTGGTCAAAACCACATCGGCAATAGACCATGCTACCGACCTCGCCGAGGTGTTTTCCCAGATCAGAAAGCACAACATGCGTCTCAACCTGGAGAAGTGCGTCTTCGGCGTTCAGGGGGGCAAGTTCCTCGGTTTCATGATCACTAGCAGAGGAATCGAGGCCAACCCCGAGAAAAGCAAAGCCATCATCCTGATGCTGAGTCCGCAAACGGTGAAATAGGTCCAACGCCTAGCAGGAAGGTTAGTCTCACTGTCCTGATTCATCCCCAAACTCGCGGAGAAAGCAGGGCCAATCTTCACCCTGCTAAAGAAGCCAAAAGACTTCCAATGGACAGGTCAGTGCGAAGAAGCTTTCCAAAGCTTCAAAACCTTTCTCTCGGCCCCACCGATCCTACAAAGGCCGAATCACAACACCGACCTCCTCTTCTACTTAGGAGTTCGAACCCGGCCGTAAATGAATGTGTTAAGATTCATAAATGACCTTAGACTGGAGTCAAGGTTAGAATTCGACCTTAAGTCGGTCGTGCCGGGGTTTGAATTCGACCCCAGTATTGAGAGTGGGGTGTGTTTTGCCAGGGTTCAAAGTCGTCCTCAAGTTAGTGGTTTGGACTCGACCTTTATCGGGAGTGTCGAGGCTCATATTCGCCCTTACACTTCAATTTTGAGCAACTGGTTTCAACACCGACCTCCTCTTCTACTTGGCCATAGCAAAAAACGTCATCAATGTTGTAATAGTGCAAGAAAACCAGAAGACGTAGACACCGATCTACTTCATCAGTCGAGTCCTCCAGGACGCGGAGAAACGATACCAGATGGTTGAGAAGTTGGCGCTAGCACTCGTCACCGCGGCCCGACGTCTCCGACCATATTTTCAAAGCCACCAGGTGGTAGTCAAAACCGACTACCCCATAAAGCAAATCCTGAGAAAACCGGAACTCGCCGGACGAATGATCGCATGGTCAGTAGAATTATTCGAGTTCAGCATCCGGTACGAAAGTCGCGGCGCCCTAAAAGCCCAGTGCCTGGCCGACTTCGTAGCCGAGCTCATGCCTGCTACTGCTGAGGAACCCCAGGTATGGACTTTACACATTGACGGGTCCTCCAACTCTAAAGGTGGTGGTGCAGGTATCATTCTGGAGGGGCCAAATCAAGTCACCTTGGAACAATCCCTCAAGTTCAGCTTCAAAGTGACCAACAACCAGGCAGAGTATGAGGCACTCCTCGCAGGACTGAGGCTAGCCCGCGACCTCGGAGCCCGAAGAGTGAGTTGCAACAGCGACTCAAAACTCATGGTCGAGCAGCTCAATGGGATGTACCAGGCAAAGGACACCCTTCTGCAATGGTATTTTCACATCGCATCCCAGCAGATCTCGTCCTTCGACGAGTTCGCCATACAACATGTGTCGCGAGAACAAAATGCCCGAGTTGACCTCCTACCGAAGCTCGCCAGTACCAAAAAGGCTGGACAGCACCGAACTATCATCCAGGAGACTCTACACTCGCCTAGCTTCGATGACAAGGTTGTCAACGTCAGTGATAGTGGAGACCTGGGCTGGATGAAGGGCATCTGGAATTACTTGAAAGAGGGTACCTTGCCCGAAGACAAAGACGAAGCTCGGAAGATGAGAATGAGGTCGGCCAAGTTCGTCATTGTCGGAGACGAACTGTTCAAACATGGCATTTTCACCCTGCTGCTCAAGTGTTTGACCGCACCCCAAGCAGCCTACGTCATCGACGAAATTCATCGGGGCATATGTGGCTTGCATTCCAGAGCTCGCTCGATGGCCACCAGAGTACTCCGGGCTGGATACTACTGGCCCACTCTAAAGTCAGACTACCAAGACTACATACAAAAATGCAAAGAATGCCAGCAGTTTGGCAACACACACCGGCAACTGCCCGAAACCCTCCACCACATGATGTCGGCATGGCCTTTCTCCCAGTGGGGAATGGACATCCTCGGGCCATTCCTCCATGCGAAAGGCCAGCTCAAGTTCCTCCTCGTGGCAATCGATTACTTCACCAAATGGATTGAAGCATGCCCACTCGCCAAAATCACCACTGAAAATGTGCAAAAGTTCACCTGGAGAAACATCGTTTGCAGATTCGGAATCCCTCACACCCTCGTTATCGACAACGGTCGACAATTCATCGCACAAGGATTTGAGAACTTCCTCCGCGAGCTCGACATCAAGCATCTTTCGACCTCGGTGGAACACCCCCAAACCAATGGCAAGGTCATCCTCCGGGAACTCAAGAAGCGGTTGGGGAACGCCAAAGGTCAGTGGCCCGACGAACTTCCCAGCATCCTCTGGGCGTATCACTGCACCCCTCAGTCAACCACGCAGGAGATGCCTTACAGGCTCACCTACGGGACTGAGAGTGGAAGTAGGAGAGACGTCCCACCGACACCAAGTCTTCAAAAATGAGCAGAACGCGCAAGAACTAGCAGCTGACCTCGACCTAGTTGACGAGATCAGAGAAGAAGCTCAAATCCATGAAGAAGCTCAAATCCACGAAGAAGCCTGCAAGCTCCAAGCTTCCAGAAGGTACAACACGCGAGTACGACCTCGCTCTTTTCGAGACCGACTACCCCATAAAGCAAATCCTGAGAAAACCGGAACTCGCCGGACGAATGATCGCATGGTCAGTAGAATTATTCGAGTTCAGCATCCGGTACGAAAGTCGGTCAGCAAGTCTACGTATCCCCGGGTGTGAACTCGCTCTCCCGCGAAGCTGACTAGGGGCTCCGTGTGAGGCTGGATGAGAGAGTGAGGGACGTCTAGTTTGAGGAACGTTGGTCAGTACAGGACGTCAGCCGAGCTTTCCTGGTCGATGAGTGTTTTCTGCACTTTCTAGTTGGCTATCTCCACAACAATGACCATGGGGTCGTCCTGGTTAGGGTTGACATCGGTGTAGTCTTCGTTGGAGAAGGAGATCGGCGGTGAGCTTTGGTGCGGGGCGGAGGTGGTAGAGTGGACGCAGTTGATGTTCTGTAAGTGTCTTCTTCGGGCCGAGCTGCTGGCGCCTCCTCCCGCAAAACCACCTGCAATCGTGTTGATTATTCCCCGCAAGGGGGCTAAGTCTGTCTCCTGACTTATTTCGGCCTGTACCGCGCCATTAACATTTTGCTGGGACCCTGTGGGTAGGTTTGTGCGAGCTCCTGACCCGCGGCCTCTCCCGCGTCCCCGGCCTCCAGAGCCACCTCGGGAACCTGATTGTCGCTGGATGTAGTGGCCGAGGTGGCCTGCCTGGATGAGTTCTTCGATGCGGTCCCGGAGCGTGCGACACTCGTAAGTGGTGTGGCCGTAGTTCCTGTGGTACCGGTAGTGTTTGGACTTATCGGCGTTGTTGGGGGTGTGGCCGGGTGGTGGAAGGGCTAGTAGGTTATTGTTACTGGCTTCTTCCAGGATGTGGACTCTCGGGGCGTTTAGGGGAGTGTAGAAGTCATACCTCCCGCTTCTGTTGGCTCTGGCCAGCTTCTTGAATTGACTGTCATTATTGACTTTTACCTTATCTTTGTGGCTCTGTTCCGGTTTTGCGGGGCCCTTCCCGCGAACTTGGTCGCGGAAGGCCGAGTGCTCTTCCATCTGAATGTAGCCGGTGGCGCGGGCACGCAGTTCATCCATGTCGCGGGGGGCGTCGTGGCATAGGCTGTCAACGAACGATCCGGGTTTTAGTGCCATGAGCATGGCGTGCAGGACGACCTCCGGGTTTAGATTCCGGATTCGAACCGAGATGTTGGAGAAGCGCTCCATGAAAGCTCGTAGAGATTCATCGTCGTTCTGCCTGAGGTTGGCCAAGGCGGCCGAGGTTGTGTGGTGAGGTCGGCTGGTGGCGTATTGTGCCATGAATCACCGTACCAAGGTGGCAAAGCTATCGATGGATCCGGCTGGTAGTTGGGTGTACCAATGAAGCGCGGGTCCCTTGAGTGAGGTCGAAAAAACCCTACACAATATAGCGTCGCTGTTAGTGTAAAGGTTTACCTGAGTTGTGTACGAGTCTATGTGCTCGTCGGGGTCCGTGGTGCCGTCGTAGCGGTCAAGGTGGAGGGGCTTCCACCCGCGGGGTAGCGGGGTCTCCATGATGCCATCCACAAAGGGATGACGGCGGAAGGGTTCTTGGCCCTCGGAGACGTGGGTGGGGGCCCTGCTGGTACCCTGCCCTGTTCTGTGCGTTGATGCATGAGACTGGTGCGTGGCAGGTCGTGAAGTCGGTGCCTTAGTCGTCGCTCGGGATTGGGAGGCTGAATGTGTCTCCTCCTCATGATCGTCACTGTCGTGCGGAGGTTGATTGGAGTGATGTCGAGGGAGCTGGGCGCGGATGCGCTCATTCTCGGCGCGTAACGCTGCGAGGTCTGCTTCATTAGCGGTTCGCATTGCTGCGAGGTCATTCTCATGCTGGGCACGCATGTTCTGGAGGTCGGCGTCGTGCTGTTGTCGCATCTGCTCGACTTGGTCGATCAGCCGCCTCAGGGTTGCAGCGTCGCTGTCCATGGTAGTTGAGTGGCTTGCGTCGTCTGCTGCTCGTCTGATGTGGCTTCTAGTAGAAACCATGCAGGTGGCCGATAAGAGTTGTCTTGATCGGCCCCACGGTGGGCGCCAAATGTTCTTACCGAAATTTGACCGTAGGGGTGATCCGTCCAGTAAGATCGGTGAGCCTCCTTTGCTTGATGTATTGGTGCTCCAAGATGGGGGAGGTACCTGCAAAAGAGACTCCGATGCCAAAATTAGGGTTTGTTTGAGCAATAGTCTCGTATAAGTAATGCACGTACCTTGGAGTGAATTAGGTTGCTTTGGGCTCTGGGCCTGAGATAAGACATGATAGCGGATCTCATCTGGGGCGAGATCTTCGGTAATCAATGATTAGATAATGGATCTCGTATGGGCGAGATTCTCGGGACTCAGTTGTGATTCACCTGAATGACGAGTTGACGCCGTATGACGCGTGCCCGAGATCATCTTGCACTGTGATGCCGAGCTTGGAGCTCGGCTTCGCGGTACGGTCAGTACAATAAATAAGTATGATAAATAAAAATTGAATTAGATAAGAGGTTATAAAAATTTCTATAAATCTTCTTATTGAAGAAAAATTCTTAAAAGTATTCTAGATAAAAATTTGTATTACATAAGAGTTAATAAAATAATTTTATTTATGAAAAATTAGTAAGAAAATAGGTATTTCTTACGTCTTAATTATTATTTTTTATACATAGCACTGGGCGTGATTTGATTGCGCCAGGCGTAGAGACTCCTTGGGGGTCTCTACCTGGGGTGGCACCGGGCACATAATAAGCGCGTCGGGCATGAGACCCTGGTGAGGTCTCTGCGTTGTGCCGAGCGCGATTTCGGCATGCCAGGCTTGGGAGACTCCTGGAATTCTCTGCCTCCCAACACGCCAGGCGCGATGATGATACGCGGGCGTGGAAGAGCTTTAGAGCTCTCGGGTTGGGTTCAGGCCGGGCGCGAGTTTACTTGCACCAGGCGTGAAGGTGTTTGATTCTATGAGTCAAAAAATGTTGAATTTTGTGATAAGATGAGAAGATGTAGTTGTGTGATGAAAGTTGTACATTGCATTATGTGTTGAAAGATATTATTTTATGATGATTGAGTTGTAGATTATGAGTTGAGCTGTTAAGCTGTTGAGTTGATCATGTTATTTAAGTTGTTAAGCTGAGCTGTGGTGTTGAGTTGTAGATTATGAGTTGAGCCGTTAAGCTGTTGAGTTGATCATGCTGTTTAAGTTGTTGAGTTGAGTTGTGATGATGAGTTGTTGATCACTAGGACTAGGGGACATATTTTTAAAGTTACTCATCTCATTGTGTGGATTGAGAAAGCTGTGGTGCTTAGAGAGCCCAATTTGTTGAAAACCCTCCTTGGGAAGTTGTCCCTTGGAGTGGACGTTGTACTGTTCTCCTCTAGGACTTAGTTGGTCCTGTGTGTGGGCAAGGTCTAGGCACACGTGTACAAAGCGACCACGGTATAGGGGTCAGGTCGAGCTATACCGATTACAAGTGGCCAATTTGAGTAAAGTACGAAGTCAGGAACTTAGTTCCTAACCGAGTATCAGAGAGTTGTAGTATTTGGAGGATAGTCAGTAGGGTAATCCCATAAATGACTTAGTTGAGCTAGCTAATGTCGTGGTAGGCCTAAACCCAACTATTCTATCCTGACATAGTACTATATTTTCTTGTTTAAGTGACAAAGTCTGAGAAATCGTTATCGTGCTAGCTCGGAAGATGAGAATGAGGTCGGCCAAGTTCGTCATTGTCGGAGACGAACTGTTCAAACATGGCATTTTCACCCTGCTGCTCAAGTGTTTGACCGCACCCCAAGCAGCCTACGTCATCGACGAAATTCATCGGGGCATATGTGGCTTGCATTCCAGAGCTCGCTCGATGGCCACCAGAGTACTCCGGGCTGGATACTACTGGCCCACTCTAAAGTCAGACTACCAAGACTACATACAAAAATGCAAAGAATGCCAGCGTTCCTCGGTTTCATGATCACTAGCAGAGGAATCGAGGCCAACCCCGAGAAAAGCAAAGCCATCATCCTGATGCTGAGTCCGCAAACGGTGAAATAGGTCCAACGCCTAGCAGGAAGGTTAGTCTCACTGTCCTGATTCATCCCCAAACTCGCGGAGAAAGCAGGGCCAATCTTCACCCTGCTAAAGAAGCCAAAAGACTTCCAATGGACAGGTCAGTGCGAAGAAGCTTTCCAAAGCTTCAAAACCTTTCTCTCGGCCCCACCGATCCTACAAAGGCCGAATCACAACACCGACCTCCTCTTCTACTTGGCCATAGCAAAAAACGTCATCAATGTTGTAATAGTGCAAGAAAACCAGAAGACGTAGACACCGATCTACTTCATCAGTCGAGTCCTCCAGGACGCGGAGAAACGATACCAGATGGTTGAGAAGTTGGCGCTAGCACTCGTCACCGCGGCCCGACGTCTCCGACCATATTTTCAAAGCCACCAGGTGGTAGTCAAAACCGACTACCCCATAAAGCAAATCCTGAGAAAACCGGAACTCGCCGGACGAATGATCGCATGGTCAGTAGAATTATTCGAGTTCAGCATCCGGTACGAAAGTCGCGGCGCCCTAAAAGCCCAGTGCCTGGCCGACTTCGTAGCCGAGCTCATGCCTGCTACTGCTGAGGAACCCCAGGTATGGACTTTACACATTGACGGGTCCTCCAACTCTAAAGGTGGTGGTGCAGGTATCATTCTGGAGGGGCCAAATCAAGTCACCTTGGAACAATCCCTCAAGTTCAGCTTCAAAGTGACCAACAACCAGGCAGAGTATGAGGCACTCCTCGCAGGACTGAGGCTAGCCCGCGACCTCGGAGCCCGAAGAGTGAGTTGCAACAGCGACTCAAAACTCATGGTCGAGCAGCTCAATGGGATGTACCAGGCAAAGGACACCCTTCTGCAATGGTATTTTCACATCGCATCCCAGCAGATCTCGTCCTTCGACGAGTTCGCCATACAACATGTGTCGCGAGAACAAAATGCCCGAGTTGACCTCCTACCGAAGCTCGCCAGTACCAAAAAGGCTGGACAGCACCGAACTATCATCCAGGAGACTCTACACTCGCCTAGCTTCGATGACAAGGTTGTCAACGTCAGTGATAGTGGAGACCTGGGCTGGATGAAGGGCATCTGGAATTACTTGAAAGAGGGTACCTTGCCCGAAGACAAAGACGAAGCTCGGAAGATGAGAATGAGGTCGGCCAAGTTCGTCATTGTCGGAGACGAACTGTTCAAACATGGCATTTTCACCCTGCTGCTCAAGTGTTTGACCGCACCCCAAGCAGCCTACGTCATCGACGAAATTCATCGGGGCATATGTGGCTTGCATTCCAGAGCTCGCTCGATGGCCACCAGAGTACTCCGGGCTGGATACTACTGGCCCACTCTAAAGTCAGACTACCAAGACTACATACAAAAATGCAAAGAATGCCAGCAGTTTGGCAACACACACCGGCAACTGCCCGAAACCCTCCACGAACCTTGAGTAAGTGATGCTACAAGGACGAGCGTGCCCTGACATGGTGTGGGATGAGTGAGGCAATTAATCTGTATCACTTGTGTCAGATGTGGCGTGGCCTTGGCATAGTGTTAATTGTAAGATTTGTGTGGATTGTGATGGATTGATGTAATTGAGATGTGAAGATGATAAATGATTGTTAAATTATGATATATATAAATGCTTGTGAATATTTCATTCAGTAAGGAGTTATGATGGATTATGTTGTATTTTTCCTTGTGTGCTTTCCATAAAAATGTTTTCTTTTCTCACCGTATAATTTGTGGATGTTTTAGGTGAGGAAGATCCGGCTTTGAGTGGCATCTAGAATGCCAACCATCGAGTTATGGGTGTGCTCTGATATTGTGACATCGGGGCAGAGGATTCTAGGATAAATTTTTATATGTATTTAGAGTTATACCTTCTATTTTGAAAACAATTTGTAAACTCTCAAGTTTTACTTTCTAAATTTCATTTTTAATAATTTTGATTATTTATGAAGGTTTTATGTGAACCCTTTTTACCATTGTTGAATATTTTATTCTTTAGTTAATTACAAGATTTATTTATAAATGTGTTGGGGTAGTAAGGGTGTCACATTTGGACTGGGATGATCATACTGTGTATGGGAGTAGAGCAGGGATAAGTTGGAGAGTAGTAGCAGTGCCATAGAGGAGGGCTGGAGTTGATTTTGTGTAGGCTACCTTGGCGTAGCATTTTGTTATATACTTCGACTTGTTGAGCCTCAGGCTGGATATATAT